GGAGACAACACAACAAAACACACCATCCCGGCCCCTAGATGCTGTGGAGACAGGGGCAGAGCCTTGCTGGCCTCTGTACCCATCCCGCCACCCCCCTGTTGATCCCCCGCCACAGGGCCCAGTCCCCACCGTAGTTCTCAATCTCCCCCGGCATGTCGTAGTTGATGACATGCTGGATGGCTGGGAAGTCCAAGCCCTTGGAAGCAACATCAGTGGCAACCAGGACATCTTTCTTCCCATCCCGGAAAGCCTCAATGGCTTTTGTACGTTCCTCTTGATCTGCAAAGGACCAGCAGAGAAGATTAGCAAGGACAGAGCTCACAGTCCTACCTACTACAGCAACCACAACAGCCTCAGAGCCAGTCAGCATTCAGCCAAGGCTCCCCCAGTGAGAGCCCATGCAGCCTTTCCCTAAATAAAGTAGAAGAGGGGTCTCTAGGTCCCTTAGGGACCTGCGCAGTGTGTTTGTGCCTGCTACATACAACATGGTGTTCCCTCCTGACAAGTGCCACAGCCTCTCCTCGCACCATCACAAACTGCTGCGCACTGGGACCTCCCATGGCCGCATCCCACCTTGGCAGGAGTGGGGTCAGGCAGAGCCCCGTGACCCTCACTGACCTTTCCCTCCATGGATGGCCACAGCTTCCACACCCTTGAGCAGCAGGTACTCGTGGATTGCATCAACATCTGCCTTCTTCTCTGCAAAGATCAGCACCTGCGGCAGCACAGACATCATGAAAGTCGCCTTTCTGTGGGCTGGCACTACCGGCACCAACACGACCACCCAGCAAACCCACTCCCCCTTGCTGAGCAGAGCACGCAACAACTCCAGGCCCTGCTCCTGCTCACACGTGGAGCACAGCTCACTCCCGGGCCTATTCCACGCATGGCAGAGCCCTGGCAGCATCACAGCTGCATCCCCATCGCCAGCTCCATCCGTGCTCCGGGGCTGTGGTGCACCCGCACTGCCCCCAGCCACACTGCCAGAGCAGAGTACTCACGGGTGGTGGGGTCTTCTGCAGGCACTCGAGGAGGTACACCATCTTGGCCTCCTCTTTCACATACTCCACTTCCTAGGAACAAGCACAGAGATGAGGTGGGCAGGCAGCAGAGAAATCACCATTGCCCCTTAGCCTCTTGACAGATTAAGAAGGCCACAAACCCCAGCTCTCTGGCAAGGGAAGTGATCAGTGCTGGCCTCCCACACAGGCATGGAGGAGCTCCCGGCTACCTCACCTGCACAACATCCAGGCTGGCAGCACCCGCTCGCCCAACGTTAATGGTGATGGGCTTTACCAGGGCGCTCTTGGCAAAGTTCTGGATCTTCTTGGGCATTGTGGCACTGAAGAGGAGGGTTTGCCGCTGGCCCTGCGCAGGGAACACAGTGTGGGCACAGACAGAGCACTCACCCAACCAGGGTGTTCATGTTGTGCCAGCTCAGTACCTTAAAGTAGGAGAAGATGGTACGGATGTCTCCCTCAAAGCCCATATCGATCATCCTGTCAGCCTCATCCAAGGCCAAGTAACGGCAGATGTCCAGGCTCACCATCTTCTTCTGCAGCAGGTCCATCAGGCGGCCTGGGGTTGCGACCATCATGTGTACACCGCTGCGGGATGAGAGGCCACGGTCAGGTGCTCAGGATTCCTCCCCCATACAGTGACACACAGGTAACATACCATTCACTTGGCACATCACCTTCGCCCTCACACCTTCTAGAAGCCACCCAGCCAGTGAGCCACCCCTTAGCCCCCTGCCAGAAAACAGAGCACAGCTCCAGCCCCACAATCTCCCGCCTTGAAGGTCTTACTGCTTAATTGTCTCCATCTGCTCCTTGACAGACATGCCCCCGATGCAGAGTGCACAGCGCAGCGGGGGCAGCCCGTCCTCCTGCAGCAGGCGACAGTAGAAAAAAAACGAGCCAGCTCCCGCTGCAGAGACAAAACTTGCTCAATTCCTACGCCTTCGCGCAGGGAGGATCCAAGATCACGACCAAACATCGATAAAAGCATCCTCCTGCATGTCACCGCGCCCCCAACACTCACCGAGGGACAGATGATGAGCCCGTAGGGTCCCTCTCGCTTGGAAAAGGGCAGCCTCTTCTCCTGCTCCAGGCAGAACATGATCACCGGGAGGGTGAACACCAAGGTCTTCCCAGAGCCAGTGAAGGCGATGCCAATCATGTCCCTTCCTGAGAGGCTGGCACAGGAACGGGGCCGATGGTGAGGAGGAGCACCACAGACCGGCTCAGACCTCCAGGGCTGAGCAAGGTGACAGGGTGCACTGGTCACCAGGGCTGAGTGCCCACTGGGTGGGCCTTAGGGAGCCACAGGGACAGATCACTCACATGGTGGGGATGCCTTGGATCTGTATGGGTGTTGGCTGCTGGATTCCTTTTTTCTTCAGGCCCCTCAGGATAGCTGTCAGAGAGCAAGCCACGTGTGTGTTTGTGACCTGAAGTCTCAGCAGCAGCTCTTCCACCAGTGACAAACACCCCTCAGGCCAGCGGCCAGGTGACCCATTCCCAATTCAAGCTGCGATCCCACTAATGCTAAAGATCCAACAGCTTCGCTCACTGACGCCCACTTCCCAGCAGAGCACTCCCTACACCCTGCCAGGCTCCCTTCCGAGCCCACCTGCTGGAAACTTCATCTCCTTGAAGCTCTTGATGGGGGGCGGGATGCCTTCCCCCTCCACCAGGATGTGGTACTTTTTGCGCACGCGATCGTGCCGCGCCTCCGACATGCCCAGGATGTAACGAGGTGCTCTCCAGCTGTGAAGGCAACAGGGAAAGGTCGCAGTGCAGAATGAGGCTGAGGGTCCAGAGCCAGCAGCCCCCATGGGGGCCCAGGGAACAAACTGTTGGGCCTCAATATCCCACCAGGGAAAACAGGTAACCGCAAAGGGGCTTCATGGTGTGAGCAAGGAAGCAGATCTAAGCCAGTTCCGCACATTAAACGTTTCTCTAAAGTCTAAGGGAGAAGTCCCAAACTAACAGCCAAGAACAGTCTATGGATAGTGGGTAGAACATGCCGAAATCTTTTCGACACATCTTGGTCATCTCTCTGACACTGCCTCAAGCAGCACCGGCTCTGTTGGCTCACCCAGGATCTGAAGACCCACCTCGATTCATCAAATTTGACATGAATGTGCTTTAGCAAAACTTACTATTAATAGAAAACAACATCCAAGGTGACCCAACAGCCTTTAATCTTACATAGAGTGGTAAGAAACCAGGCAGTGGAGCAAGAGAAAAGCCAGGGGCCGCAGAGCAGTGAGGCTGCACAGCTTCCAGTTCTCTTCAGCTGATAGAAAGCAATGTTTCCAGAACAACCTCCGTGCTGTGAAACGCACCTGGTTTTAATTGGATCATCGTAGGTGATGCCCTTTGCCATCTCCTTCACTGACATCAAAGCTGCAAGAACAAAGCTGGTGAGGTCAGTGCAAACTCTCGATCCCTACATGCCCTTAACCTCGGCAGAGAACTACTCAGGCAAATGGTCTGTGAGGCCGAGTCTAGAGACAGAGAAGGGAAAGCAGCTACCCCTGAAAGCCCCCCTGGGTACAGGAACACCACATCCTGCAGCCTGCCATGCCCAGGGCTTGCCACTGCAATGTCCCAGCTAAGCCAGGCAGTCAGATGCTGATCCCCTTGTGGTCTCCCACTCCATTCCATGTGCAAACAACCTGTTGCAAGGTGCATAATACCCCTGCTGCTGCCCCAACAGCTCTGAGACGTGGAGCTCCCAGCGCTCACCTCGGCCCTCTGCCACGCTCTCGAGGATCTTCTCCTCCTCCTTCAACTGCTTCTCCTTAGCTGACTCCTTCCGAGCTGGGGGGAGAGTCAGGGAATCGGTGAGGAAGTTCCAGGCCCTCTCCTAAGCCGCCCAGCCCTATGGCGGCCGCTCCTCTACCTTCCGCCTTCTCTTTGAGGTGCTGGTGCTGGTCCAGGAGGCTGATGTTGGACTGGGGCCCCAGGGGGATGTCATCCTCGTCACCCCGCTGCTCGCTCCCGCTATCCCGCT